AGCAAAGGCGAGCCGCAAGTGAAAGGAAAATGCACCGCAACCAGCACCAGCGCAGGACAGACGGAAAAGACGCTTGGGCAGGAAGGGAGACTTCCGCGGCAGAAAAGAGGCACCGCAGCTCGCCCTGCAGGCAGCAGGGAAACCCGAACACACCTGCCCCATGGGCTCTGCCCCAGCGCTTTCGCAGCCCCCGCTCAACCACCACAGCCAACCTCCCCACAACACACCACCAGCAAAGCACCGCCACCCCACCAACGCACTTCCCCGAGACCACCGCAGCCACCAGCCAAAACTGAAAACCACAGCCGGAAACTCGCCGCAATCAGAAAGCGAGGAAGGCAAAGCCGCCCCACCACATAAGGCCGGACACCCGGCAGCACCCCAAGCACAGCGCCCACCCGCACCACCACCGAGCCTCACCAGGCTCCCTCACCACCACCGCCCACACACCCACCATGCCTGCGCACGCAACCCCACACACCCGCCTGCCCCACGGCGCCCCGGCGCTCCTGCTCCTCCTCACGGCTCTCGCCACCACCCTCGCCTGCCACCACCTGCGTCCACGAGATGCCACCTTCGCCTGGGACAGCATCAAGATCTTAAGGGCCATGGCTCCCAGCCCGACACAGCCCTGCCAGCACCAGCAGCCCCCCTTCCCCTTCCCCGACACCCTCCTCCACACCAACCACCCACAGCAAGCCGCCGCCACCGCCCGACACATCCTCGACAACCTCTTCGCCACCCTCAGCAGCCACAGCACCCCCCAACACTGGGACGCCCAGGCACAGCATGACCTCCTCAACAACCTCCAGCATTACATCCATCACCTGGAGCAATGCCTGCCAGCCAACAGCATGCTCATCAAAAGGCAAGGGCCCCGCAACCTCTTGCTCAGCATCAACAAATACTTCAGGCGCATCCAGGACTTCCTCCGCACCCACAACCACAGCGCCTGTGCCTGGGACCACGTCCGCCTCGAAGCTCGCGCCTGTTTCCAACATGTGGACACACTCATACGGCGAATGAAGAGCTGAGATGCTCCTGGCCACCACTAAACCTGCCCGTGCCAAACGCCCGTCCCCAGCCAACGCCAGAGGCCACAGATCAAGCAGAGGCTGCAGCAGCCCGGGCAGGGATCACTCAGCACCGCTCAACACCTCTTCCAGCCAGGAGCCTGTGCCCCTGGGGAAATGGGCACGACTGCGGGAAGGCTGGGGCCAGGCTGCGGCACAGCCCGCACACCCACACCGTGGCCACACCTTTGCTGGTAAGGGAGGAGAAGGAAAACGCCGTTGCTTCACACTCACGGACACACGTGAAGTGATAGGGAGAGGGGTGGTACTTATTATCCACGGCGTTATCTTCTCGCCCATCCAGACTGCGACCTCCCATGATGGAGGAGAAGGTCCCCATGGACACTGCAGGACTCTCAGGTCAACCGCTATTTATCACAGAACTCTGTTTATTTATTTATTTTGCCAGCCATTCCTTCCTATGTGTATTTATTTATTTATTTATTTATTCACTTGTTGGAAATAAAGACTTTTTGCAAAAACAAAAAAGGAGACAAGAGGTGGTCATCATGCTTACAGCTGACAGGCAAAGACAGGGTCCCTGCAGGCAGTCAGGGATGAGCCTCCCTCCTGCAGCACGTCCCACCAACGTATCCTGCCCTGGACAGTGAGCCACTCTCAGGGATCCACCATGGTCCTTCAAGCCCACAGGCATCTCCCACTGGTGCCAGACCCTCAGAGCACACACTCGCTCAGAAAACTTGACACCTGCCTGCACTGCGTGCTCTTCTTCTCCTATCATCCACCCTCTCCCTTCCCAACCCTCTCCCACTGCCAAGACCAGAAAGACATCTCCAAACCACCACTCCATCACAAACATCCATTCTGCAATGCCATAGCACTGCTTGGGACCACGCAGGGTGGCATGCACAAGCTGCATCTCAAAGAGGCAAGGAGGGCGCCAACCAAGGCATGTAGAGATTTGTGCATGTGCACGAGGAAGAGCACCCCGGTGCTACAAACCCCGTCCAAGAAACACCAAAAAGGCACAAAAACCACAGGAGATAACCAGGAATGCTTATTGCCCTCCTACAACCACCACAACTGGACCAGAATGCTCCTGCCTGCATGCACACACCACTGGCCACTGAGACCTGCCTCAATACATACAGCACACCAGCCTAGGGCTTCTTCACCCCAACACATCCTCAGCAAGCAAAAAGATACATCGCCCAAACACTACCACCCAACACGGTCCAAACCAACCAGCACAGGATTCCCCAGGAAACAAACTGCCCAAACACCACCAGCACCAGCTGCTCCTGCATTCTCAAACCACCTCCCCAAAAATATGTGCCCCGAGTGCTTTGCCCTCCCCAGGTAAGCCTGAGCAAGACAACACAAAAGTTCAGCAGATCTGGCCTCCTCCCACCGGGACAAAGAGGTTACTCTCCATGCTCAGTCACACTGCCTCCACAGCCACGTAACTGCAAGTGCCCAGGGCATGTATTTTTGGGGTTGTGGTGCAACCACAAAGGAGCACCTTCGGCACAGCGGGAGAGTGGCACAACAAGTGGGACCAATTATTTTCAGGTACACAGCCAGACCCCTCAAGATGCAACTTCCAGGTTGTCCTACAGTCCTCCTGTTGTTCCTTCCAACCTGAAATACCCTGTGATGCCAGGCAGGGGGGACCTCATTGGCTCTTGTCTTCTCTGTGGTGGCTGAAGAAAGGAAACCCCACCCAGACATAAAAACAGAGGAGAGGTAACAACACAAGCTGGAACAAAGGGAATTCAAAAGTGAATGAATAAACACACTTTTATTATCTTATCATGAAGGTGATACATAACCACAAGAGGGATCAGGGAGGTTGTGGTATGTCCAGTACTAGGGATATCCAAATGCATCACTGCACAAGGCCATTAGACACCTCCTCTAACAACACCTACCCTCAAGTGTCAGATGGAACTCGGGCTTCATCAATGAACATTCAGTGATCAAGTCCATAGAGCTAAAGTCACCTCCTCAACAGACACCCAGAATTAGAGAGCTCTGGAGAAACCCAAGAAATACATCTTTTTACAATACTCCAAAAATGAGAAAACAAATGATGTATTCATACACAATGAAATATGACAAACACACCAAAACTAAAGAACCAGAAACCAGAACTAGAGTATTACATAAGGAAAAGACTTGGGCAGGAAGGGAAATTCAGTGGACAACATCCAGGAGAGCTAGAGCGGGAGGGAAAGGAGA